TTGTTGACACTGTCCATTTTGCTCTATGAGTTCATGGGGACCTAACCGTAACCCTAAGTGGAATTTTCCTCCTATGGGATTTTCCCATGTATTTTACCAGGAAACATAGATAGCGCAGCCTAGAAAAGTAAGTGCCCTCCTAACCATACCCAAGCACTCCGAGTTTGTTGGCGCTGCCCATTTTGCTGTATGAGTTCATGGGGACATAACCCTAACCCTAAGTGGAATTTTCCTCCTATGGGATTTTCCCATGTAGTTTACGAGGAAACATAGATAGCGCAGCCTAGAAAAGTAAGTGCCCTCTGAACCATACACAAGCACTCCAAGTTTGTTGGCGCTGTCCATTTTGCTCTATGAGTTCATGGGGACCTAACCCTAACCCTAAGTGGAATTTTCCTCCTATGGGATTTTCCCATGTATTTTACCAGGAAACATAAATAGCGTAGCCTAGAAAAGTAAGTGCCCTCCTATCCATACCCAAGCACTCCGAGTTTGTTGGCACTGTCCATTTTGCTCTCTGAGTTCATGGGGACCTAACCCTAACCCTAAGTGTAATTTTCCTCCTATGGGATTTTCCCATATATTTTATCAGGAAACATAGATAGCGCAGCGTAGAAAAATAAGTGCCCTCCTAACCATACCCAAGCATTCCGAGTTTGTTGGCGCTGTCCATTTTGCTCTATGAGTTCATGGGCACCTAACCCTAACCCTAACCCCTAACCCCAAACCCCAAACACTAACCCCTAACCCTAACACGGGCGGGTACTGTTTTCTGTCCCTTACCGAGATCGGCGTTCCAGCCGCCGAAAAGACCCACCATCGCCTCGATACTAATGCTAATAGCCGAAAAAATACCATCCTATCGTCAAAGAGGGAATTGCGTCCGCTGAGTGTAATAAGCCTTTTCAATAAAGTTTTAAATCTACGGCCTAACTCGTTGATCGGACCTGTGCAGAATGTCGCCGCAAAAGGAAGTTGGAGGATTACTAAGAAAGACTGACCGGAAAACGGGCATGATGGGAAGGTTGCTTTTTAAAGACCCTGGAGGACGGCATATTAGAAAGGACAGGAAGTCGGCCATACTGAGGAGGTCCCCCGAAAGATAGTAGGGGGAAAGATTAAGAACGAAGGAAAGGAAGTCGGCCATTATGGAAAGGTCCTTTTCCCCAGCACCTGGGGGACGGCCGATACCGACGGACAGGAAGTCCGCCTTTCAGAGAGGGTCTCTCGGAGATTACTCGTCAAGAACAAACCAGCGAACCTACGCAGAAGGCCGAGGGAAGCGGCCCGTCCCTTTCGGAGGAGCATAGAGCAGCGACCCTTTGGCTGACGCTCTGCGCTTTAGGGTTTAGCTTCTCGGTGTCCCGATACTGGCCAAAAGGCCTACGACGGCCTCTGTGTTAATGCTATGGGACGGGCAACACCGCCCTCCTGTGGTCGAAAACGGGTATTGCTGCCGCCCAAAGAAATAAATACTTTTTAATAGCATTTGAAGCTTATTCTTCTCTATTTTTATTCTTAACGACATTATTAATATTAACGTGGCGACGGGGGGTCCGGTCGGTGCGACACGGGCGCAGAAGAAATCCTGGTTAAAATCTTAAACCAAGTGAAGGCATATCGTGGCTTATTCATAGTAATAAGTTTTTAATAATCAAGAATAATCATCTTAAAACGCTATTAAAGAGGTTTATTTTTTGTGTGTGGCTGCAGTATCTAATTTAACCAGTTTTCCGTCCCTTGGCAGCGCTGGCTCAGGAATTCTGGGAGATGAAGTCCACCAGTCATCAAAGAGCCAAGGTTGCCTACCCCTGCCTCAGCCATTTTAATGGAGGCCATTAAAAAAGGCCTATGATGGACTCCGAGCCAAAGCTATGGGACGGAAAACTGTGCCCTGCTGTGGTTAAAAATGGGTATTGCGGCCACCCAAAGAAATAAACCTTTTTAATGGCATTTTAAAATGACGGTATTCTCTCTTTATTAACGGTATTAACACCTTATTAATAGGGCCAGGGGAGGCCTGTTCGCTGAAACGCAGGCGCGGAAGAAGAAATCTGTTTCAAAAGCCTTAAACCTAGTTAAGAAAGCCTAGGATGGGCTAATATTAATAAGGGAGTTGAAGTCCACGAGTCATACAAAGAACATACGGATTGCTATCAAATTTGGAATGTATTTTATTCTTGGTTAAAGCAAAGAAAGAAGGATTAGGAATTGAACATCTATTAGCTTAGCAAACTCCAGGCAACTTGTGGATTGGAAAAATTAACATATGTTGATGGAAACAATAAAAAAGATTGATACAGGAAGTCCACCAGTCATGAAAGAGCCAAGGTTGCCTATTCCTGCCCTAACCGTAACCCTAAATCCCTAACTCTAACCCTAAAACCCTAACCTTTGACCTGACCCCGTGATTTTTGACCTGACCCCTCAACCTTTGTCCTTCTTTCCCCGAAAGAGGGATAAAGACAAATGCAACACAGCTACTGAAGTTGCCCCTGTGCTCAGAAAAATAGTGCTGACTCAATAGACCCAAAATGATATCGGAACCACCCTGGGCTTCATCTGCCTCCCACTTGCTGCAAAGATACCCGCTTAGCTGTCTCGTACCCTCCTTTCCGTTTTGGATTCTGTTGCTAAGATGGCCCTGCAAGTCCTTTCTAACTAACACCATCACCACCACCACCACCACCACCACCACCACCCCGGCCAGAAAGGAAAGCATGAGGCCCGTAGGATAGGGCCTTATCTGCACAGCTAACCGGACTGTGCGACGGGACCTGGAAGAACAGGGTAATCTTGCATCTCTTTGACCGAGCTTCGACCTGAAACTTATCATGATGCTTACTTTTAACTGATTTCAATGGCATAAGGTTGCTCCACTTGATGAGTTAAAAAACAAAAGTACCGCTGTTGCAAGCAGGCGCCGTTACAGTTACGCTTTTGTATTTTTTATTTTAAAAGGGTGGACAGCAATTAACCCTATTTTCAAAATCTGGTTTACGGTGATGTTTATTCCTAGAGTTTAGTATGCTAAGGTTTAAGATGTAATCTATTTTTATAGTTATTTCTAACTTTACATTGGGTATGTTTGTTTCTAAGTTATTTTATATCTAGACAGCTTTTGTTTCTTCTACCATCAAAGTGCTTCATAAAACGCTAACGCTGTAATCTACAAACCACATTAACGCACTTGAAATCGCTCTTAAAATTACACAAGGGGATTGCTCAGAAATCAAAAGCTCGGCCAAAGAGATGCGTTCTTACCTTGTCCCTAAATGCCCGGAAAGCGGGGCCCGTGAGCATCACCCAAAGATTCTGTCGCACGGCCTGCCAGGCGTGCCAGAAAAGGCCCTTTCCGGTAGACTGCCAAGCTCTGCTAGTGGGAAGGCCCTTGGAGAGGTCCCTAATGCTATTTCCCACCAAAATTGCAATATTTAGAGGAGCGGTGGCGATCGCAACCTCCCACCCTGTTTCACGCTTCCTCTTGGGGTTGTTACTAGGCCCCTAACTTTACTACATTTCCATCCCTGTCTCTTTAAAAGGAAAAGCCTTAACCTCACTGAAAGTGACATAAAGGGGGAAGGAAATCCTCAAGGACAACTTATCTGTTTCCCCCCAGTTCCTTCTTAACAGCCACAGCAAGGGAGGGGGTCACCCATCCGGACGAGGCTCTAGGCTGGAAATCCAGGGAGCATGACCGCCTTTCTCCACTGCCTTTTCCAAAAAGGCTGAAGCTTTCAGCCGGCAGGCGTCCCCACCCTTCCTCCTGGCTGCTACATCACTCGATGCAGCTGTGACTGGGGAAAGTTAGCAAAATTGCAAGCCAGACTCTGCAAAGACCCGGATCTCCTGCTGCCCCCAGAGAGACCTGCTTTTCCTTTCTCTTTCCTCTGGGCGGTGGGTGGGCTGTTTACGGCAACCTGGAAAGGAAAGGAAGGAATCTCCTACCCTTCCTAACCCTGACTTGCTTTGGACGAAGGTCTACAAAGTTAGATGGATGGCGAACAAATTAATAAATGCCATTAGTTGCAACTTCTCACGTCTCATCCCTTTTATCCATTCTTTAAATGATAAACCTATAAGGGAACGATATTATATACATTTTCAAAATAAACTACATTTATTTTTATATTGATCGTTTCTTAATAAAAATACACAATATTTCAAATAGATATTTGATATTGCGCTTATATTAATACATAGGTATCTCTAAGAAATATAGTTTAGAAACATCAAACCTAAATACAAACCTACATACATACGATCTCCATACGTACGAACAAATTAATAAATGCCATTAGTTGCAACTTCTCACGTCTCATCCCTTTTATCCATCCTTTAAATCAGTGGTTCTCAACCTGTGGGTCGGGACCCTATTTGGGGTCGAACGACCATTTCACGGGGGTCGCCAAACAACGCAGTCTGCCATTTTCTTTTCCCTTTTTCTTTAGCTGTGCTACTCCCAATAGAATAGACTCTCTTGAATAGAGTCTAATTCTATTGGCTTTCAAAAGCCAATAAGAATTGTCCAGGCTGTCTCTGCCCTGCTGAGCCCGCCAAAAGTCCCATTCTGCAAATGGTGCTGCACCAGTTGAGTAGTCCTCGACTTACGACCGGTTGGGGGTCGCGGCATTAAAAAGGTTGAGAACCACTGCTTTAAATGATAAACCTATAAGGGAACAATAGGTTATATACATTTTCAAAATAAACTACATTTATTTTTATATTGATCGTTTCTTAATAAAAATGCACACTATTTCAAATAGATATTTGATATTGCACCTATATTAATCCATAGGTATCTCTAAGAAATATAGTTTAGAAATATCAAACCTAAATACAAACCTACATACGTACGATCTCCTTAAAGAAATAGCAGGGCAGGACAAACAAAACTATTCTTGAATAAAAACATCCGGGTTTGCTTGAAGGGGGTGAGCCGGGTGCACTTTTAGGAGCAACCTCTTAAGGTGTAACACAGGGAAGCGCGATACGACTGGTTCTTCTACATCTGGGACTCTGGCGCTGGGAAAACACCATTCAACGGCTGCCTTGCTTGGCAGCCTTCGAGGAGACCCCCGAGACGGGTCGGAACCCCCTTCCCGACCCGGACGCCAAAAGCCTTGAGCGTGCCCCGCCGGCCCCGCATCTAAAAAGGAGCTAAAAAGAAGGCGCAGCTGAGCTCGCGTAAACGACCCCAAAGTGTGTTATTAAAACAAGCTAACTTCATCTCTACGTTCCCAATTTAGCCCCTATAGCTGAAAGGGAAAGAGCGCAAAGAGACCAGGTCTCACAACCTCCGGCGGCGGCGGCGCCGCCACCGGTTCTCGGTCGCATTCTTACAGACGGGCGGCGAAAGGTCAGGAAAGGCCAGGCGGACATCTTAGGGGAGAGGACCAAACGAATGGCCGGGAAGGAGGCGGGGGAGGGGGAAGGTGGGGATCCCCCGCTAACTAGGTAACAGAGAAACCCCGGTATCTTTCTGGAATCAGGAAATGCGGGGATGATTCGGCTCACCTGAGGCAGTAGCAGGCTTCCTTTTTTCCTTCCTGCGGCCTCAGTCAACGTAATGCAGAAAAGAGGACGGGAAAAAGCAGGGAACCGTCCTGCGAACGGACAGGAAGTTGGGGACGGCCTCGGCGGATGGACAGGAAGTCGGACGTACTGGGAACGTCGTCGTCGTTGGTCATGCTACGGGACGGAAAACTGTGCCCTCCTTTGGTCAAAAACGGATATTGCGGTCGCTGAAAAAAATAAACCTTTTAAGTGGGATTTTAAGGCTATTTATTTTTCTCCCTCTTTTTATTAACCCCTTATTAATATTAATAGGGGACGGGAGGCCCTTTTGCCATTTTAAAGGTTTATTTCTTTTGGTGGCTGCTATACCCGGCTTGGCCACGGGAGGGCACTGTTTTCCCTCCCTTAGCGATAGCGGCATTGAGGCCGTGGAAAAGGCCTACGATGGCCTCGATGGTAATGCTGTGGGACGGGTATTGCGGCCGCCAAGAGAAATAAGCCTTTTTAATGGGGTTTTAAAGGCTAACCTCGTTGATCGGACGTGGAGTCCGCCCACCCCAGAAGGTCCCCGCAAAAGGAAGATGAAGGATGATTAAGAAGGACGGACCGGAAGGCGGCCATGTTGGGAAGGTCGCATTTCAAAGACAATGGAGGACGGCGAACTTGAGCCATGCTGAGAAGGTCTCCACGAAAGGAAGTAGGGGGAAAGATTAAGAACGAAGGAACGGAAGTCGGCTATGATGCAAAGGTCCTTTTACCGCAGGACCTGGGGGACGGCCGACACCCACGGACAGGAAGTCCTTCGTGCAGAGAGGGCCTCTCGGAGAGTATCCGTAAAGAACCAGCCGGCGGACATGCGCAGAACGCCGAGGGAAGCGGCCCGTCCCTTTCGCAGGAGCATAGAGCGGCGATCCTTTGGCTGACCCTCTGCGCTTTGGGGCTTAGCTTCTCGGTGTCCCGATCCTGGGCAAAGGGCCTACGACGGCCTCCATGTTAATGCTATGGGACGGGAAACACTGCCCTCCTGTGGTCAAAACCGGGTATTGCTGCCGCCCAAAGAAATAAATACTTTTTAATAGCATTTTAAGCTTATTCTTCTCTATTTTTATTCTATATTTATTAACGCCTTATTAATATTAACGTGGCGACGGGGGGCCCGGTTGGTGCGACACGGGCGCAGAAGAAATCCTGGTTCCAATCTTAAACCGAGTTAGGCCCTATTAATAAGATTTTAATAATCAAGAATAATCATCTTAAAACGCCATTAAAGAGGTTTATTTATTTTTGTGGCTGCAGTATCTGATTTGACCAGTTTTCCGTCCCTTAGCAGGGCTGGCTCAGGAATTCTGGGGGTTGAAGTCCACCAGTCATCAAAGAGCCAAGGTTGCCTACCCCTGACCTAACCCTAACCCTTTGACCTGACTCCTTGACCTGACCCCTTGGCCTTTGACCTGACCCAGTTACCCCGGCCCTTGACCTTTGGCCCTGCCACTTCACCTTTGACCTGACCTTTTGACCTGACCCCTTGAAAAACCAAGTTGTTGGGTTACCTACCCTGTCTCGGTATTGCCTGTCTAAAACTAGTTGCCATTCCAGGTCATAAACAAATGCTTCAGCTAATGTGATCTTAGAGCTTGTGGGAAGAATCCAGAGAAAGAAATATTTTGGGGAATATTAGAAAGGCAGAATATATTTCCCCAAAGGGAAAAAGACAGAAACCAGCCCCAGCCTCTCTCCCCAAAGCAGAAACTAAGCAGAGGCCAGCTTCTAGAAATGCAGATGTAATAATCCATTCAGAAAGGTTGGAGCCAGGAAGCTAGAAGCTAATGAAATTAGGAAGACAAAGACCCCTAAAGTCTATGTACCCCCACCCAAATTCTAAGGACAGGAAACATAAAAGGATTAACCCACCCATACCAAAAGGACACACTCAGACTCAGGTCAAAGTACATGACACAGGAAATACAAAGCCTCAAACAGGAAGAACTCGAAATACAAAGCCCAAAGAAGGTATAAAAGCCCAACACTCCCTGCTACATGTGGTCAGCTTTCCCAGAGCCATCTTTCTGTCTGGCTCTCCTCTCCAATAAACTATATTTTTTTTTCTAAAGCAGTCTCCATTTTGTTTATTCCCAGCTTGGACTGGACCCTGATGAAGATTTTTCTTTCAGCAAGCTCTTCCGATGTTCTGGTGTTCTAGATGCATCAAAAGTAGGGAAGATTCCACAGATTGTTCCTTATGATGTCAAGTCCTTCCACTTCCATGGATGCACACAACCTTCCACAAAGGTTAGTTGTTCCTACCTGCTTCCTTACCCTTTTCTTCATGTTTGATAGACTCCTACCTGAGAACAATAATTTAAGAAATAAGGAAAGCAACTTTACGATACAGGTTGGTGCTTTTCACAGGATTCCTGGTGGGATTGCGTGGGGGTCCCTTGGGATATTTGAACCTGCCTTCCAGAATCGCCCTTGGGAAGTGAATGATTTACTTCACAATCAAATCTACTCTCTGAAAGTTAAAGCATGGAGGTTTCCACATAAAGATAAACTTCATGGCCTGCTAATACCCATTCCTTTAGCCTGACTTTAGTTGTTCTGTACTTGAATATCTTCTCAGTTCCCAATTACCAGGTTAAACCTTTGCCTGGTTATGGTTTGTGTGCCAGCTGTGACTTTTTTGGAGTGAGATGTCTTGGCAATTACATGTGCCTTTGCCATCTCATGACTGGATTACTGCAATGGGCTCTGTTGGGGGCTGCCATTGTAGAACACTCAGAAATGTTGATTGTTGCAAAATGCAGCTAGCTGTGTGCTGGTAATACTACACCCGCTGCATTGACTGCCAATGTTTCCTGATACACTTAAGAGTGTCATTGATAAGATCCTTTGCGGCCTGGGCTTGGGTTATCTGTGGGGACAAGCCAAGAAGAGTATGTTCCGAACTGTATGTATAAAGGTGGAGGAAGCACACAGGTCCAAGAGAGCAATCTGCTGAGTGGACGGGCTGGAGGAAAAGATTGCACTCTTTGGCGAACAGGCCAGGCGTCAGCAAGGACAGCTGGACAAAGAAACTGGAATCCCAGAAGCTGCGAAATGAGCTATTTTTATTCCCTCTCGCTGCATTAGGTGGGTAGCAAGGGAAATAGCTAAGACACTGTACAAAGCTCCATTTAAAATTGCGTTTAGAACTGTAGGTGCTTTATTTAATCTAATACCATTGTGAATAGAGAAAAACGGGTTAGGTGCATGAAACCTCCTGTTCTTTTTTTCCCACCCTTGTATGACCAGCAGTAGCTGCCCTAAATCTCAGGCAGGCAGGCAGTCGGTCGTCTTTGCTCTTGCTTGCCCCGTGGCCCTTTCCAGGCCCATTCTGCTGCATCTCCCCTTCACTGGGATGGGGGCCAGTGGGGCTTTCTGTGTGCAAGTCTCTGCCTAACATTAAGCCCAAGACCCCTCATACCTAAAGCAGAGAAGCTGGGGCTAATGGAGATGTTCCTAATAAAGGTCTTATCTCACCATGACTTCATCTGTATCCAAGGACTGAGTTGCCTGACATTTCGTAACCGATAATCTGTTCTTTGAGTCTCTTTGTTCCTGTAAATTAGATATAGCCTATATTTATTTTAGTCATTTATTAATCAAATATGTACACCACCCATCTTACTATCTAAATTATTTCAGCAGTTCACAAATAAAAACCATAAAATCTATACAAAAACAGACAAGGTTAAAAAAAAATAAGTTAAAAAGACAGGAGGAGCGCCCTTAAGCCACCAACCACATGCTGGTTTGCATGCCACTGTTGGATCCCCACAATAGTTGACACTCAGGTCTTAGCGCTCTTCAAAGAAAGCCAGGATTTCTGCCAATCTCACCTCAGGGATGAAATGTTCCAGAGGGGGCAGAGGCGGCAGCGGAGAAGGCTCTTCTCCTTGACCCCACCAGGTTTAAACCTTTTAGCCGATGGGGTAGGCTGCATGCCCTCGGTGCCTGATGGGATGGGACAGGTTGATGTAATTGGGACGAGACAGTTCCTCAGGTAGCTATGAAGTACTTTAAAAGTGATAACCAACCTCTTGAATTGGACCCGAAGCAAACCGGCATCCAACGTGGCTACCCAGCAGTGGTGTTACATGTACAGTCCCAGGGGTCCCCAAACTGACCCAATTGCCAGATTCTGCAACATGTGGAATTTCCAAATATCGTCAAGGGTAGCCCCACGTAGAGCACATTGCAGTCATGTCCATTCAGAAGATGACCAGGACACGAATGATTAATTGGGCAGCGAGAAGCATCTTTTGCCTTGGGAGTGTTGCTAATGTGGCTGTGTTGCTTTGTGCGATTGACCAGACTTGGTAGAGTTGTACAAACAAATATTTGGAGACAATATTCAGCTTATGGTCTTCACTGAGTCAATGATGGCCTTCTCTGTCAAAATGGATGAGAGGGAAGAGATTGCTGGGATTTTGTCTCCAACACCAGGCCTCAAAATTCACAAGTTAGGGGGGGAGGGGGGAAAGAGAGAGAGAGAGAGAGGGAGGGAGGGAGGGAAAGAGAACTTTGCTTGGAGTTCGTTAGCATTACAAGCACAAAGCAAGGACACAAGCATTATGGGCCATGGGACTGATTTCCCCAGAGCAGCAGTGGATTGCTAAAAATGTAGGCAGTGCCACTCAATTCATGGCCAATTGTCTCTTCCACTATTTATTTTGTCATCTCTCCTTAATCCTCCCAATGAAGTCTAATTTCTCCACAACATCTCGTAATATCTCTAATTACACTCTCCCACCTGTTGTTTCCATACAGTTGCTACACAACTACTGTGTTTCGCCCCGTTCCCTTTCATTTGATCAGTATTTTAACAGACAGCATGGCACAACCAAAAACTAAGCTAAGAGTTAAAAAAAGTATAGCCAAGCAACAAAGCACCTCTGGGCAATTTATCACCGAGAGAGAGCAACACCTGAAGAAGGAATATGCTGTCCTGACAGAGTATATCAAGGCCTATTCAGATCGAGTGGATCGCTTTCAAGATGAAAATGAATTCCTGGACAAGGAAGCCCAGGAGATCCAAGAAAACAACAAAGCTTACCTCACCTACTTAGCCAAGCGCGCTCTCCTGTGCCAGAATGCCATCGTTACCTTAAATGACCAGAACCGCTCAGATCTGGCCTCTGTCCTGAAGCAGAAGGATGAGCTGACCTCTCAGTGCAGAGACAGAGAGAAGGAGGTCAGGAGCCAGCTGATTGAGATGGAGACCAAGTATTCCCTCATGAACAAGGAGGTTGACGAACTGAGGCCCTTCAGGGTGCTGCAGTCAGACCAGCTTGCCCGCATCCAGGAGCTGGAGAAAGACCTCCTGGCCATGAAAATCCACCACTCTGAGCAAATGCACACCGTGAAGAGCCAGTTCCTGCAAAAGAAGGCAGAATATGAAATGGAGTCCCAGCAGAGGGTCCAAGCTTTGGCCAAAAAGGCAGAGAAAGAGGCCATGCGCAGCCTCATCCAACACACCAAGCAGGTAAAAGCTGAGAACGGGAGACTGCGCCATGAGCTGCTGAACCTCATCAAGAGAGCCCAGGGCCTAAAGGCCATTGTGCACCAGCTCCAGGAGCAGAAAGAACAGCTTCTTCAGGAGCTCCGATATGGTGAAGACTTGGCCCAGGTCCACAGCTGGCTAACTCAACGGAGGAGACCCAGGGGTGGGACCAGCCTGCCTACCAGGACTGAGGTAGGCTATCCTCTTCAACCACCCCTGAACAAAAGGCCTGAATCTTTCGCAAGTCTCCAAGGCCCAGCAAAAAAGCAGTCAACAACTCAGACCCAGAAGACCAACGTGGGAGAAGCATTATGCCCTCTGGCTCAAAGGTTCCCATAGCACCCACGGCTTATATGAAGGGCTTTAATGGCAGCCACAGGAAGACTGGCGTAGCTCTGGCATGACATACATACTCCCAGAAGCAGCAGGAAGACTGGCGTAGCTCTGGCATGACCCCCCTTCCCCCCAGAAGCAGCCTTCGCACTGCCTCCCTAGCTGAGGGGAAAGAGGTGATGTTTTTTTTGCCGTAGCAAACTGGAGTAACAAGTGTGTTCTGCTTTTCACTTTTACAGCTAAGGTGGCTAAAATAAAAATAAAGTTGCCAAAGCTGCGGTATATCATTAATGACGAGGTCAATTCATATAATTGCGCAGAGAGTAAAAAAAGTCAAGAAGGTCTAAGTGCAATACAATTTTTGTGTGTTGTGTTGGGAAGAATAATGTTTGCACTCTAGGATGGATGTGGGAGCCTTGCAGAAATTCGGTGGTGTTGATTTGGGGGTATCATAATATGGATTTGCCCTCCTTGGGCTCAGATTGAGGTAATTCTTTTTTTTTTTTTTTACTGTATAGATAGTTCTCAACTTCTGATGAGCCATTTTTATGACCATTCCAAATTATGGTCACAGAATCGATATTTTATGATCCATAAATACCCCGGCCATTGTAACTGGTTGCACTACCCCCACCCCTAGGCCATGTCATTTTTTTTCCTGGTTTCCAGCATCTTTTTACCGTTTTTGGCAAAACACCCATTCAAGCCTTTGTTTTAACATCACAAAACAGGTCAGAAAATTTCTTCTGTCACATGGCTGCTTCAATTTATTTCACCATATTCCCAATCCCAATTATGATCTTAAGCAGAAGACCACCTCTACCTGAAAACTGACTTTTGACACCCTTTTATTAATCATGACATGGCTATTCATAACTAATCAGATCTTACTGCGGAATTGATCCTCATTTGATGACGCATTCCGGTCCAATACAGTTCACTGATTCCCAGAATAAAGAAAAAGGAACTGCAGGCAGATCGCAAAGACGTAGTTCTATAAGGTCTTGGGAAAAAATGCTACATTGCCAAGTTGGTGTAATGATTCAAGGCGTTGGACTAGAATCCAGATCTTATATTCCTGCAATAGACACAAAACCAGCTGCAGTATTTTGAGCCAGCCATTCTCTCTGAGCCCTAGGAAGAACATAATGTCAAGCCACATTTAAAAATTGTTGCCAGAAAAACTGTAAGGAGTTGATTATGAAGCCACCAGCAGTAAATATTGTCTTGCACCAAAATAAATAAATGACCAAAACCCCACATAATTTATCCAGAGTAAATTTTGCTACATTGATTTTATCTCATTTTTGGTCCAATGGCTTTCTTAATAGATCGTTAAATATATATGGAATTCAGCAAATCTTTTCACAAGTTATTCCGTTAACTCAGCAAGCTTAGTTAAGCATCAATGGGAAGATTTGCCCCGGGAGTAGCTGCCTCAGAGACAGTAATCACTCTGATTAGAGTGCTTCACAAGCAGCTCTTATCAAATTGGAGAAACGCATCCAGTCCAGGGCCCAAGTCCAAATACTCTGGTTTTTGATACTATTACTGATGTCTTGATGGAAAAAACACCAATTCTAGAAATAGGCTAGGGCTAATGGAATTTAACGTATTGGGGATGATCACTATGGAGAACCACAGCAATATTTACACCCACATCATTGTAATTAGAAATAAAACAATATTTGAAACATACAAGCAGATCACTTTATTAGTACTTAATAGCACATGCCTGATTCAAAGGCCTAGGAGAAAATAAACACAAATACGTTTAAATATTTGTAATATTTAAACATACAAGTAACATTTAAAAGGCTGAATTATGACCATGGTTTTCCATCTCTGCGTCAGAAAACCTTTTGCAACTGCCGGTCTGGCCGTTCAGTCAGGCGCAGGAGGCAAAGTCCGCGCTGAGCTTCCTCATGATGGCTCCGTGGCTCAGGCCCTGCTGTGCTTGCTTCACGGAGCCGTAGTTCTCCTTCACGTATTTTGCAAATGGAGCGAGTGGGGCTTTAGCTGGCGTGCCATCTTTGAGCTTGGGCTGGCAAAGCTCTAGCTGCCCCTTGCAAAGAGCGCAGACGAAGCGCTGGGTGTCCAGGGATTTGGAGTGGCGTCCAATTCTGAAAGGCAAACGCAAGAGGAGCCTTTGAAGACAGAAAGCAGTTAAGGAAAGGCGAAGGCGGCACGCATCTGTAGGCAAAACCATCAGGAAAGAGATTTATTATGTGACTTTTGAAGTCAGTGTTGACTCCTCGAGACTTTCTCGACAGTTTTTTTGGCAAGATTTTTTTTTAATTACCAAAATTTGGTTCTAAGCCTGCAAAGAACCAAAACAGAACAGTGGCTCCCAGTTAGCTTCCAGTTGCATTCAAGGTGCTGGTTATCACCCATAAAGACCTGCACGGCATTAGGGCCTGGCTACTTGAAGGCCCACCTGTCTCCATATGTTTCCCTCTGCCCAGTGAGATCAGCTAAGGTGGACCTGCTCCAGGTCCCATCAGTGAAGCAGTGTCCCCTTGTGGGAACTGTGAAGTGTATCTTCTCCGTGACGGCTCCAGCCCTGTGGAATGTGTTCCCACCCCCCCCCCCCCGATATCTCCCTCCTGACCTCTTGTGAAGTGCTCGACAGGCCTGGCTGCCCTGAGCCCTTTCAGGGGTTTTTGGCTCACAACACAGGCCACTTCCTGCTGATGCTGCCCAATAACCTTCCAGGGCAGCCCCTTTGGCACAAAATTGGTCAGAAGGGATTTTCTAAAAGATTGTCACACAAAAATCTGCTAAGGATCATATAGGATCCACCTGGAAGCTGGCTTGAATCCCACAGCCAGGAGGGGGAAATGGCTGATTACCAGGTGATTGAGAGCAAACTATTAACATCTCCAGCATAAACAATTAGTGGCCATCAAAAACTCTATACATGTATAATTCTATCTTGAAAATACTGGTTGCAAGCAAGAATCATGGTTCAGGGTCATGTATCCTTAATACTGTCTTAATACAATTTATAAAGTTCTACTTCAGTATACAAGTATTCCTCAGGTTAGAGCAGTTGGGACCAACATTTCCATCTCTAAACGTGATGTCATACGACTGCCTCACTTAGAGATGGGCAATTCCAGGAGTCCCAGTTGCCAGTGTAACCCCAGGATCACACAGGTTATTAAGCGACTGTGGTGTGGGAAGAGACGGGTTCCCCCAAAAGAAAGCAGGCCAGTGGGCCAGAACTATAGATGCCCAGTGTGGGCGCTATGGAGAGCTGAAGAATATGCAGAGGATGGACAGATGGGTGCCACCAGCGGGAACCAGGTGGTGCAGGTGGGCAAAAAAGCAGCCACAAGCCACCTTGTGGAATTCGCAGCCTCAAAACTGTTGCAGACAACACTTGCACTTCTTCTCTCTTTGAGTCTCCCTTGCCAGCCGTTTGCTGACTTCAGGTTATAAGGCAAGTCAGGAAACTTTCCAAGAGCCCTCTGTGTAGTTTCTTACCCAGCTACGGTCAAGACGTTTACCATAGGACATCGTATCTCAGCTGTGCCAATAATTAAAAAAAACACATGTCCTCTTGTAGATAAAGCCCATAATCACTTGGATCCATCCACGGAGGCAACCCCATCCACGGAGCAGCCTCCCCTTCAAAGGGAAGGTCCTCCAGGACCAAAAGCCTGGGACACTCTAATCCCAACCTCCTTTAGCTCCTACCACACTTCTAGCCATTTCAACAGGCAGGCAAGGAAAGGATCAAAATATATCCCAGTTTCAGAAAAGCACAATGCATACATTCTCCTACATTTACTCAGATTTCAAAACGATAGAACTGAAATGGACTTCATTTAAATAAAGCAGATGACTGAAAATATTGGGAGAATGGTTTATCAAATGGCAGGCAATGCAGCATCTGTGAATTTTTTTTTTTTAAAGCAGTACTGCTAGGCAAAAGGAAATTCTCCACTCACGTGTTTTTGCACTGTAAGCATTCGTAAGTAAATTTGTATTTTATCTCATAGTTGTGGCACCGCGAGACCACTGGGAGCTCTGGGTGAATTGCAGCAGACTTGTTGGCATATAAATTCCAGAATCGCCCATGCCCGTCTCGAACACCATGGATCAACCACGTTGCTGCATGGCAGAGTTCGTGGATGAGAGTATCCCGAAGTCGATCTAACCAGGGCATGAAATAAGAGAACAATGAAACTTGTCTGTAGGCCGTGCGCTCTGCTCCTAGTCTAAGTCTAAAATATTAAATCTGACTGCCAGGCATGAAAAACCAGGACCACACTTGAAGCCTCGACTAAACCGATCTATTATTACTCGTGCCTCAGCACAGGAACCTGCTTAGCTAATGGTTAGCAATATTTTGACGCGAAGCGATGGTCAACAGAATTCAAGAGAGATTGGCCTTAGCTTATAGCCACATAGCGATTCTAGGCTGATTCCTCTTTTGCCTCTGCCCCCAGGTTCCACCACTCCTTCTCCTACAATAATGTTCCAGATAATACTTTTAGCCAAGAACCATTAAGAACCACCATCCAAACTATATAGGAGATGTGAACTTGTAATAAAAAGGTAAAGGTTTCTCCTGCCCAGTCGTGTCCAAATTTAGGGAGGCAGTGTTCATTTCCGTCTCACAGCCAAAGAGCGGCCTTGTCCGAAGACACTTCCCGTGGTCATGTGGCCAGCATGGCTATACGCCAAAGGCACACAGAACGCTGTTCCTTCCCGCTGAAATGGTACCTATTTATTTACTTGTGTTTGCCTGCTTTCAGACTGCTGGGTGGGCAGGAGAACTAGCAATCTAGGATCTTTATTCATACAAATAGTAAAGTAAAGAATATTATTGCAGCTTAAATCCATGAAGTAATAATTTAACCAAGCAACCAATTTCCCCCAGTTGGCCTGATTCCTTTAGATCAAAAATTCATTGCCACCATTCATTTAGACCAGCGGTTCTCAACCTTTTTAATGCCGCGACCCCCAACCGGTCGTAAGTCGAGGACTACTCAACTGGTCGTAAGTCGAGGACTACTCAACTGGTGCAGCACTGTTTGCAGAATGGGACTTTTGGCGGGCTCAGCAGGACAGAGACGCCTGGACAATTCCTATTGGCTTTTGAAAGCCAATAGAATTAGACTCTATTCAAGAGAGTCTCTTCTACTGGCTTTCAAAAGCCAATAGAATAAAAGGGAGTAGCACAGCTAAGGAAAAGGGGGAAAAAAATGGCGGACTGCGTTGTTTGGTGACCCCCGTGAAATGGTCGTTTGACCCCAACTGGGGTCCCGACCCACAGGTGGAGAACCACTGGTTTAGACCAAAAATGATCCAGCTACATGAATGCTCCCAATAATGTAGAAGAGCTGGAAGTTGCCTCAGTTTAGAAGGACAACTGCTTGTTGCTGATGAAGAACCCCCAGGAAGCCCAATTCATAAAAATATTTGGGGGGAGAGAAGGGAAGAGAAGAGGAATGGGTAATGTAGAAGAGCCAAACAGCTTGGACACAGCAATTGCCCAAATTGTATTAAACTAAGAACTGCAGATCTTCAACTCCTCCTCCCTGCCTCTCCCCACCATTCCTGGATGATAAGAAATCAGAGGGATGGTTTTCAACTTCACACAAAAAACTTGGCTGAAACTTTCAAAGGGAAACTCTCTTCCTAAGAACAGCCTGATTCCACAATCAGTCTGGTGCTGGAGACGGCTATTACCGGCCCTTGGAACACGAAGGCAATTTCTGATTGCCCACAAGTGCTCCAGTCGCTTCCCATAAGGAGACCGCACAACAGGCGTCTCGGGGGGGGGGGGGCTGGTGCTCTGGGGGAATGCCCAAATCTCTGCTCAAACGGTGGAGGGGTCACACTTCCTTTTCTAATAAGTTTTGGAAATTGCTTATTAATTGCGTTTCAAGTATTAGGAACCTTTGCAACAAGATTTAAGAGCACCAATAATTCTTAATGGAAGACATTCTAAATACAAGTTTAAGGACTTTTTAAAACATCCTCCTTTTTTTGGAATAAATAGCAAAAGGGTGATTATAACATTGACTTTGAAAAATTATAATTAAGGGTCCAAATGGATTTGAAATAAGATTTAGAATTTAATTATAAGGATTCTTCCTATAGGAAAATGCTGTTGTTTTAGAGTCTTTTTAAAAAAATGATAGGATGAGACTTTGAAGACTGCCCATTAAAAGGAACCAGGAAAATCTAAAAATTACAATTAAAAGAGAAGAACATTTAAATTTGACTTACTAATACAGAATGGAACAAAATATTTTTAACGTGGGACATACTGAAGAATACATGTGAACAATGGATCCAGAGGTTAATTTTAGGTACTATATGTCTGCTATTGTAGATACACTGTGTTTAAAAGATATTATGGAAGATGAACAAGATTTACCAAACAAGACTGAGACTGACCTGAAAGTGGATTTAAAAATGAAAGGCCACAAGTATGATACGGAAAAAGATGTAATGCTGGACATACAAATGAGACCGACTGATGTCTTAATAATTAAAAAAAGGAGGTACAAATAAGAAACCAAGAGTGATAACTTGGATAACTTTCTTACATTGCATTTACAAAAGAGAATGTTTTCCTTTTCTTTCTCCATTACCACTGTGCATCCTGTTTCAGTCTTTCATATCTGAACATTTCATATCCCCCCTTCCCTCACAGAGGCTAAAGGAGAGTTTGAGGGGTCCTTAGTGCTCTCTGAGCTTGGCCGACTTCTGACAGGACAATTAACCAGTGGAATGGCTGGCCTTCAGAAACCGCGGGTGCTCCGTTACTGGAGGTTTTTAAGAAGAGACTGGACATTCACCTGTCTTGAGATGGGTTCTCCTGCTCGAGCAGGGGGCTGGACTAGAAGACCTCCAAGGTCCTATTTCTATTCCATTCCATTCTCTAGGTAACATCATCAGTGCAGAGTTTGGGGAATGAAGAAAACTGCAAGAAAACAACCCAGCTCAGAGAGTGCCAAGGATCCCTACTTTAAACCTGAGCTACAGACCTTCTCCTCTACGGAGGAGAGTCAGTCTTCGCATCCATGCAGTCTGTGACCACAGCCGTTCCACAGTCAGAGAAGCAAGAGGCCCTACCTGCAGAATCACAGACTTTTTCCGAGAGCATTATCTTGGCATAACGCTGTGTCTCTGGGTCCTTCACCTGGCCAGTTACACAGCACCCTGCTGTCTTCTGCATTTTCTTGTTCCAGATAATCTCCATCCTCTCTGGCAGCTGAGAGAAATGGCAGACAACAAGAGACTTGCAAAACTCTCCCAGGACACACATTTTTTGCTCCGAAAGCCTCACGTTCTTTGATGCAGAAACCTGGGTGGGAGGCCGGCAGCAGACACCGAGATGGGACTCCAAAGGCTGGGTCAAGGAGGAGTTCTCCATCGCTGCTTGGCCCTGAGCTCCCCTCCAGCCACCCACTAGGAAGAAGCAAGCCGTTCTGCCCACACTGCTGCCCAATGGCCAGCTTGGGTGAGGTAGGCCAACTTTCCCCACCTCTGGAGGAGATAGAGGGAGAACTTCTCCTTCTGTAGGTCTGGCTGGCCCTGGGCCGGTGGCGGAAGCCAGGCCTTCCTTTGCCTGTCTTCTGCCAAAACCCAAAACCAGAACAAACGCTGCTTCTGCTTCAAACTCTTGGCAGAGGCCACTGGGCTTAGGAGAAGATAACCAGGGCGAAACAAAGGTTTTGGGAAGTTAAGCCAGGCAACATGGACCCTCTGCTAGAGGTAGCTGCACCTATATTCCTTACCTTTCCCTCAAAGACAGAACGGTTGTAAAAAGAATACAGCCTTTGAGCCAGCTCTTCTTTTTTGCTCCGGAAATGTTTTGCTAGCTGGGATTCTGGGTCCGACAACTCCTGCAGGAAGCAGCCCTGGACACGACAGGGTCCCCTGGGAAGAGAAAAGCCAAGAGAAGGCTGGAAGAGCAGCCCACCTTCCTCTCCTCGTTGAGGAGGAGGCAGGACACGGCCACCTTGCCTTAAGCATTGCTGTGAGCTTTCCAGCCCCATTTAAGTTTGATCCTGAAAAGCAGGTTTAAAATGAGAACATAAATAAAATAATGAACATCTTGTTGTGCTCGCAACAGCTGAGTCTGAGGACTCTGAGCAGGAGGTGGAGGAGGTATTTGAAGGGCCATCAGGGGCAGAGGGAGGCTCGGATGAATTACAGGACTCATGGTTTGATGCACAGCCTGGGCCCTCCAGTCCTGTTCCTGATGAAGCTCAGCTGTGTGAGGAGAATGAGTCAGACTCGGAAGAGTCACACCTGATGGACTTGCTAATTGATGCTCGCACACATTGTCATTTAGCAAGAGAAAATCAGCAGCAATCAATACGACACCTCCAGAGTAAAAGGAGAAGGCGATGAGAGGCAACGCCTTGGGACTGCTGAATAAAGGGAGGAGGTGTGGGCGATGCTGGTTGCGGAAGGCAACCGTTTGCAAAGTGCTTCTTGGAATCCTGGTCTGTTCGTCTTGCTTGTGACTTCTCTTCTGTTTGCATCGTGTTTCCTGTGGACTATTTCATTCCTTTGGACTTGAGTTTTGCTGTTTATGTTTTGGACTATTTGACAGGTTTGTCACCCATATTAAAAGGGGTTTGTTTTGTTGTAAAGTCTCCAGCCTATTGCATCAGCAGGGTTTTGGTCCTTGTGCCTTTAACAAGGACGGCAATAGGCTGGGATAGAACACGTCTCCCGAAGATCTGGGCATGGTTGAGCAACTTTCAAGATCCACCCATGTTCACCTGAGCAGAGAAGCTCCAGATTTCCTCAAACAAATGATGATTAGCCTGCTTCTAACCACAGTAACAGAGACATGTTCTATTTCCTTCATTTCGCTCTCTCTCCCCATATTCCAAATATTATATATTGCAACAGAAATATCAGGCCAAAACTGGGATATTGAAGGCACTGCGTCTTTTGTTTGCAGGTGCTGTGGGGAAAATCAGTTTTCGGATGAATAGCAGTTTAAGGTACAAAGAACATGGCCTTGCAGTGTCTGGCTCACTGTGGTCCGTTGTAAGATTTCATCAGAACAGTCCCACCACAAGGCCTGAATCTCTAGATGCAAACGTTTCTCTTAACCAAAACCAGAGTTCTCTGCAGATATCGGATGGACAGGAAGTAACCCGGGACCTCTTACATTACTGGAATACGTGTGCTTGCGTCACTTCTCTCCCCTTTCTGGAATGCATAAATACGGGTGCCTGCCTCTCTCGGCTCTGCAGGATGGGGGCTCCCTCACTGCCCTGGAGGCTGCCAGGGCCTGGACGGGGTGCAATGGACTCTGAGCCAACCCAAGCAAGGCAGAGTGGCTTTGGCCTTTGGGTGACAAGGTTTCTCCACCACGAGTCCTGGGTGGAGTGGGACTGCCCCAGACAGGCCCAGTGCGAAATCTGGAGGGGGGGCTGTTCCTCTGTTAGGTTAAGTAACCCTTGACTGGTCAGAATGAAATATTAGAAGAACCAGACATCCGTATATGTCTTGGTCGCCTAGAAGATCAGAAGCCGTACTATGCTGTTTTTCCACCATGATTCTCCTGCCTCTTCAGAAATGATGCCGGCCTCCTCAGTGACGCCTTCCCAGATGAGGGGGAAGACCGAGGAGGATCTTGGGGAATAACTGAGCGCTACCTGGGACTGTATTTGTGCGATTTATTGCACTGTATTTGTTGTACTTTATCTTGATCTGTTGATAATGCAACAGTTCTATTTTGGCCAGCATGAATCAATTACAATCAATTGCTATTCAGCAGCATAGAAGTTTGATAAACAAACAGAGAAACAAACAAGTCACTTGGCAGGTTTTCTTCACTCGCTGTGAAAAAGTTTCTCCTAATGGATGTGTGAAAACTTAGCTAGCCATTTGGACTCTCAACGTAATACTAAAGAAGCAGTAGAGACTCACCTCATTTGCATCCGAGTAACTGACTGAGTAATGTCCACGAGGGCCTTGCTCCTAGAAGTCCCGAGGGAATGCAGGGTGCCAGGAGCAGGGATTCCGGGTGCCGAGGGAAGGCTGCCCTTCCTCTTCGCAGCGGTGGCTGGGCTTTCACAAGAAGACCCCAGGCCTCTCTCCTCTGCAAGGGCACAGAGAGAGCGCTCAGCACAGAGCTTGGCAGATCAGCCTGGCCAGGCTTGGCCCACCAGACGGGGGGCAGCTGCTCAGGAGAACTTGTGGCAAGGCAAAGGACTGTGTTGGCTTCCTGATTAAATAACTCCAGACGGCTCTTCCATTCCCAGACCCCGAGCAAGGAGACCAAGAGTGGAGTATGGAAGCAGCTCTGCCTACATAGCGGGACAAAGAGACTAGCTGAAACAGCCTGCACAAACTCACAGGCGTTGTAACAAAGCTGGGCCTTTATCATAATTTGTGAAGTGGCCCAAGTAGGTGAAGGGCTAGAAACACCAGGGTGGACTCAAAAAGAGCAGGATTTACTCCTCCCTCCGAGACTCAAAATTCTCTGGAAATTGTACAGAAACACCTTTACTTTGGCCTGTTATTGGAGGCACAACACCACACACTTCTTCCATACCAGAAGAGTACACCACGTGTATTTTCTGGGCCCCTGTGCTCCCACAGAAGTTGAGGAAAAGAAACGGCTTCCCCAGTAGTGCACAGCCCTCAGAGGCCTATTGCTTCTGATCCTGAACAACACCTACCAAAGCCGTCCTGTTCCCCAGTGGGTAGGAATTCGTAGGCATGGCCTAGCCAAGCCCCACACCAGAATAAGCCCAAGAAAAGGCCTGTCTCTTACCCCGGGGGCTCTGCTGGTTCCCGGCCCTCTTGACTTTGGGGAAGAACATCCTTTGCTTCATGCGAACAACGAGGCTGTCCACCTCCTCATCGGAGCTCTCCGCCTCCCTTGATTTCTGCCGCTGGCTCTGGGCTGTGCCTTCCTGGGGGAGAGAAGAGCCTGGCCTCCCCCAGGAAGCAGCAGAGCCCCTCCGAGGAGAGGCAAGAGGCAGGCGATGGCTGGTCCCTCTCAGCTGGGAGGGGCTCCCTGGGGGGCCTCCGACAAAGACGGAATCATCCTCAGTGTCGGGGTCACTGCACAAGAGTGGGGAGAAAAAAGAGCCGGCAGAGCAGGCAGCCGCCCTTCCAGCGACACCAGAGACTTTTGCTGTGTGGAGAAGTTGCGAATCTGCAATGCAATTAAACATTCTCAAAAATGTGTTTGTTTATTAAACTTCCCTGCCACCCATGCCCTTCCATTTTTTTTTCTTCTAAGCCAAACTGGGCACATCCATAAGGTAAGCGGAGCAGAGCTTCCCTCCCTGGAGTTCTGCTTGGCAGCAGTAGACATGGCCGGCTCTTCCCTTCTCCTCAGGGGTTTGCTCTGCTCCCCAGTCTACCTTACAGTGCTGCATTTCCTGGTGGTGCCTCATCCACACATGATCCCTGATCAGTTTTATGACATCAGCCAAAGTTGGCTTGGCATCATGACCTAGCTGGGCATAGATGTTACATAAAATTAGTTGGCCCGTGATCTCATTTATTTCAAATTCACAGTCAACTGCAAAGGAGTCTCTAAGATCAAACCAAATGTCAGCCCGGGCATTTCGCTTTCTTTCAAGCTGGCTGCCAGCTGCCATGGAAACGGGAGGGGGGAACCGTGCAGGAGGCGAAAGTGGAATTTCTAAGAAGCGATGGGGAGGTCTGGACTCAAGAAAGGCCAGCTCAGGTTGTTTAACAACTTCAAGGCCAGCCATCCTGGGAACAGCACCCACGAAAGAGAAGCGATGCACCTGGACCAGAGACGTTCCCAAAACATCTTCCTGGACAATGACTGAACCCCGGTTGCCTGGCTTCTGGGGGGGGGGGAGCCCTCTGGGGTTAGTTTCGATTTGTCTCTTTGCATGCATTTTGCTTCTGACCTTGCCTGACTATGGCTGCCATCAGTTCTTTCCTCTGAATCTGTGGAGGGCTTTTTTTTCCTGGGCATCGATCGGAGGCAGCCCTGACACCAACCACCCCAATCAAGGAACTGCCAAACAAGCTAACGGTAAACAGTCCAACCAAAGACTCGCCAAGACTACCCACACCGAGAGGACAATCCGTTCTAATATAAACTGAGGGAAAACCCCACTCCCTTCTAGCCCCACTGATGATGCTGCCTAGACTGGACAATGAAACGTCAGCAAGAAAACAGCCGGGCTTAGTTCTCAAAGGAGACTCTGCCGGCACCTTTTCCTCAGAAACAATGCGGACCCTTCGACTAGGTAATATTATGGGGGGGGGGCACAGCGAGAAGATGTTTGGCATAATTCCCAGGGAATTTAACTGAAAGTCTGTGGCCCTTTAGCCTGGCTGCAAAAGTGCCATCCCCCAGCAATCATAATGAGGACGAAGGCATTTCAAAATTATAAACTTCTTCAGTCGGGGCTGCCTTGTGCCAAATTGAGCCGCTGAACCAGCACTGCCCCCCCCCTTTAAGAATTCGGGAAAGAAAAAAGCAGATAAACTTTGCCAAGCCCTCCTCCCAAAGGTGTGTGTGAGTTTTTGGGACTCACTTGCCTTTTGTTGCAGATCCATACTTGTCCTCAGGAGAGCTAAAACATTTCTCCCTTGATCTTTTCAGACAGAGAGATGAGAAAAAAATAGAATTAAGAATTAAACTCTGAAAGCAAATAAGGACTTTTAAAAGTCCAACCGCCCGCTCCCCTTCCATCCTAGGAAGCTACCGGGTCCTGCAGCCCAGTACGTGTGAAAGGCTAAACCCAGGCACACCCACCCGCCCTGCCTGGGCCCGAAAGAGGTGCCAAGGCCCCTTCCCTTCTTCCCCGAGCCCCTCGTCGCCTCTTGGGGCTCATGGGAAGCCAAATGTCAGGTGCAAAAGGCCAGGTCCACCTGTAACTGATTTATTGCTAAAAGCTCAGGAATCTTCTCAACTAATGGCCAGCACTTGGTTAGAGTTAGATAAGGGTCAGTGGGGGGGGGGGAGTTTGGACTTCACTTATGACTACCAAGAGATGCTAGGATAATCCTAAAGGTACTTATTTTCATAAGGCAACTGGACTTTCTTGTTTTTCTTTGAAGATGTTTCAGTTCTCATCCAGAGCTTCTTCAGCTCTGACTGGATGATGGAGGATGGAAGGATTTATATTCCTTGCAGACAGCTGGTCATTTGCCTTCTTTGAGAGAGTGGCTGGGGCCACTTGGAGTTTGTGTCCTGAAAGTCACCTGAGTGGTGCAAATGGGTGTGGAGCCTTCTTGGAGTTGCTGAGGATTTGTGTTGTAGACTGGACCTAGGTGGTGCCCTATCCCTCCCCCTCTGTTGAGGGAGGGCTATTTTGATCTAGATGGCCTCTTTGACCCTCTTTTAAACTACAAAAATCCCTCTTTTCACCCCTCCTCCTGACTCAGCTAGTCCTTCTCCTACACCAGTGGTGGCGAACCTATGGCACGGGTGCCAGAAGCGGCACTCAGAGCCCTCTCTGTGGGCACGTGCACCGTCGCCCCAGTCCTAGGCCTTCAGCTGGGTTTTATAAAACCTTTTCGCTTTAGGCCTCCGCCACCATGTGCAAAAAAAAAAAAAAAAAAAAAAAAGTTCAGTCAGTCAATTTCAACTTTACGCGGGAAAAAAAAAGATCCTGCAAAGTTGGACTTGATTGATTGAACTTTTTAGTCCCACCCAGTCTGCCGTTACCACCGCAGCCACACCCACCCAATGGGCCACACCCACCAGACATTCGACGATACATAAGTGGGTTTGGGGTTGCAGTTTGGGCACTCAGTCTCTAAAAGGTTTGCCATCACTGTCCTACACCAACCTCCCTTCTTTCATAGGGCCCAAAACTGGGTGTCCTTCCCTCCCCTAATTTAAGAGATTAAAATCCTATCTGCTTGACTTTTCTTTACCATTGTTAAAAGCATTTAGCTCATATTGAGATTACATTTAGAAGAGCAAGCAAGCAATCACTTTAACCTTTGTAACAAAGTTTTAAATATTAAATGTGGACTAAACAGTCCATTTGGCCATAACTGTTGTCCTGAGGCTCATTGTACATTTTGGGGCCATCACCAAAAGAAACAGAAAACAATTCATGAAAATCAGTAAAATATCTCTTCCACGCAACCCCTGAGAAAATCCTTTTTTTTTTTTTTAGTTCGCCTGGAAAATCAGCTGAACCGACGGAGAGCCTGCAGTATTATAAAGGGCCTTGCAATGGTGGCGAACATCTGCAGCTCGAGTGTAGGGTGAGGGTGAAGGTTCGTCCTCCGAGCTTGTGGGTTGGTTTCCGAACGTTGAAGATGTTACCTAGTGGAAACCAACCCTCAAGCTCGGAGAACGAACCTCCACCTTCATAAAGGGCCTTGTTAGGGGGGGGGGGGTAATAAATACACTGCACTTTTCCCAACATTTCTTAGTTGGTCCTGTGGCCATGTGTTTACTGTCACTCCCACAGTTGTGGTTCTACTTGCATTTGTCTTTTAATAGTTGCTGTTTTTAACTGTTTGTTTTTGTTGTAAGCCACTGAGATTGCTCAAATAAAAAAATAAATTACAGAATTATTAAGGTAACTGCAAAAAGTATGCAGAAATTAAAATGGCTCCTTTAAAATTTTGTTTACTAAAATCACACACCTTTGTTCAATCAGATCTTAAAATGTTTAAAACTGAGTATGTTTCAGAAAATCCAAAATCAATGTAAAGTGCAAAACTTCAAAGGCACCTGCTGTTTCTTCTCCTTGGGGTGCAACAGGAAGCAGATCTGGGCGTCCTCATTCTAGACAAAACTAAGACAAGCCACAGAAAGAAACAAAAGTTAGTCCCCTTAAACGATTAAAGTCCCCAAAGGACAACCTGAAGTCAAATTAATTAAGAATTCACTCCCCTTTCAGGCTCCCTCGGGCCTAACGGGGAGGCCACTGGACTTCTCCTCAGGAAGGCTGTGCTGGGCCGGCCATTTCCAGTCTGCAGGCAGCGGGAGTGGATGAGCGGAAGCCACCCGGGCCGAGGGGAGGGTGTCTCTTCAGACACGTAAGTCAAGGACCAGGACACAGGCAGTCCCCAACTTACAACAGTTCATTTAGTGACTGTTCGAAGTTACAAGGGCACTGAAAAAAGCGACTTATGGCCACTTACGAGGGTCGCAGCAAACCCATGGTCATGTGATCAAAATCGAGATGCTTGGCAACTAACTCATGTTTACGACGGTCGCAGCATCCCCAGGGTCACGGGATTCCCCCTTTGTGACCTTCTGACACAAGCAAAGCCAATGGGGAAGCCAGTTTCATTTATCAACCATGTCACTAACTTAACAACTGCAGTGATTCACTTAACAAGTGTGACAAGAAAGGTTGTCAAATCGGACAAAACTCACTTAACAAATGTCTCACTTAGCAACAGCAATTTTGGGCTCAATTGTGGTCGTACGTCGAGGACTACTTGTACGTTAAGAAAGTTTAAGAGATCACACAGCGGTTGCACAATGGTCCCACGTTATACGGGCAGAGGTATGCGATGCAAAGGGAAGGGCAGCTAGAGGGCGCCAGGCTGCTGGAGAGGTCGAAGGAGGGCCACCACCGCCACAGCCGGAGGGGAGAGCCAGGCACACGGAGGCCAAGGGTGCCCCTGGGAGCCCAAGGGCCAACTTTACGACCGGGGAGCAGTGCCTCTGAAGGCCACAAGCAATTCTAGGATGGCCATCAACACACCTCCCCTCCCCTCTTGGGCGATGCCACACCCGGGGCTCAGCTGTCAATCAGAGGGGAAACGGGACCAGCTGAGCTGAGCCTACTTGGCTGTGAGGCTACCTGAAGACCCCTGCAAGCCTCCAAAGACGAACTCCTGCCTGCCACTTTGGCTTGCTAGATCTTTAGGTGGGTCCTTCCTCAATTTATTTGGCCACTAACTGACTGGGGGCTTCTGCCTCTCTTATCTGACCATTTCCTAGGCAGCCTCTCCTCTTCCTTTCCTCAAGTTGACGCCGGCTGGACGTAGCTCTGAAAGGACCACCCCTTCCAGGCCCAGCCAGGTCTCTTCCTGCCCCCTCTGCCATCTTGAAATATATGGTCACCTATCTGACACAAGAGACTCTGGGTGGCTCCCAAGTTTAAAACAGAGAAACCCACCAAATATAAGCTGGAATTGTCTGTGGTGCATAAAGTCCATTCCCTTCTCGGGGTTGCAGGCAGGGATCTGGCTGTGGGAACTGATGCTGACAGCTGTATTGTGGGGTCACCAGCCGTTTGCGGATCAGCTGCTTCCCAAAGAAAGTGTTCCGTGCCGTGGAGAGGCCAGTGCCAAAGAAACACGCCCTCTTGGCCCGTGGAAGGGACTGTGCTGCCGGGCAAGGAGGGCTGATGCTGCTGGAATGCAGACAAGGGCTGCCTTTTCCACTATGTACATGTGGAGGTGAGGGACTTTGCTGTGGCCGAGGCAGGGCTGGACTAGGCTGTCTGTGATTTGTGGGACCCTGTGGCTGCCACTCCCTCTGCCCTCCATCCCCAGTGAGATCTGGAATGCCCTGGGAACAATCATCTGCATGAACTTTTAAACAACATTTATCACCATCCAGGAGGATTTAACTGCAACGGGACTAGTCATCATAAGATAAAGTTTAGCGGTGGGTGTGACTCTAGTCAACTTTCCCGCCAGTGAAAGCCGGGGGGGGGGGGTTGTTTGTTTTTCAGTCTTTGGGTTGTATAATTTTGGCCACAATCGTCTGGTGAGAGGGGAATGACTGTTGGCATGGTGCGGTTGGTGGATGGGTGAGGTGTGGTGATCCCTGACTAACTAGAGGCGCCGAGCACCTGTTAATGCTGCAAAAGCGGCTCGAGTACTAGGGAACCCTCATTGGAAGACTGAGGTTGTGTGTGTGAGGCAAGGGGCACAGGCCCAGATCTGCATGGAGAGGGGAGGGCAGGTTGTAACCTTCCCGTAACAACAGATAGGAGGGGATAGGGCAAAATTCACTTAACAAATGTTTTACTTAGCAACAGAAATTTTGGGCTCAATTGTGGTCGTAAGTCGAGGACTGCCGGTAGTGGAAAGAAAGCAGACGGGCAAACAGAACTGAAAGTCATGTTCCAAAAAAAAAGTACTTTTTCTACTTCTGCAGGTTAACTTTTGCATACTTACATCTTTCAAATTCATCATCGCTGCCTGAAGATGATGAGCTGTAAAACAAACTGTATGATATATATACACAAACACACACACACACACACACACACACACACACACACACACACACACAGAGGGCAATTCAGAAATAAACCTCTGTTTGGTTATCAATGACAGACACTTGCAGATACAGAACTTTTATTATACACATTAGAAAACTACAACATTACATTACTTTTCGACATCATCGCCATTCAAATTGAGGCACTTGTCACAACGTCTTACAAGGTTTGAAATTCCTTAGTCGTCGCTGCTGCTCGGCGCCAAATCTGGGCTATGGAGGGGTGATCAAAAACATCCCAACGGAACTGCTTCAAAAGTTCCTGGCTGCATCGAGCAATGTGCAGGTCACCGAAGCTTGTTCTGGATGGCTCGTCTGAGTTTTTGTAACGTTTCACAGGAACTGATGGTTGAACCGCGCTCCATGAACTTCACTAGCAGTGCCCCTTTGGCACCTTCACATTTGGCGGGATTTTCTCTGGCACTGCTTCCGGTTTGGTATTGGTTCATGATATAATGCTCGCCCGCACACCGCTAGGCGCCCCCAAGAACTGTTGAGGCGGTTCCTTTGGGGTGTCAAACCTTGTAAGACGTTGTGTCTGTTATTGATAATCAAACAGAGGTTTATTTCCGAATCGCCCGTGTGGGTGGGTGGGATACTTCCACAGCCCTCCCTCTAGGAAGAGCCCCTCCCTCCCCCCAAGTCACTGCTCGAAGGGAGGCCGTCACCCACCCACCCCCCGCTGAACCCCCGCCGAGCCCGAACTGCGCTTACCCTTCGCGCCGGGCCATCGCGCCAAGGCCAGAACCTCCGGGAGGCCGCTCTCCCTCGAATTTCCCGCCTCGGCGCGCGATGATGACGCGCCCGCGGGCCGGACCATAGAGAGAGGGGAGGGAGCGTTCCCCGCGGCCGGTGGGAGGAGCCCGGAGGGGGGCGTGGTACTCTCAGCGGGGTGGGGAAGGAGTCCGGGCGGGACTCCGCGGCTGCCGCGTGGAACGGCCGAGAACCAGGAGCCGCGGCAAAGCAGCGGAAGGACACGGGGCGCCCCCAATAAAAATCGGCTAGTTTAGAAAGCGCCTTTGCGCTCCCCTCGCTCCTGCGCGGGTTTTAGGGGAATCCACGGGCTGCATCTTGCGCCGGATGAGCCCCGAGCCATTCCGTCGCTGGGGCCTCGATTGCAGCCGAGCTCGCTACGCGCAGCCGCCGAGTCCCTCTCGAAAATAAACTTGCATTGGTGTACAGGACGTAGGTGCTTATAGACGCACGTTGCCTTTCCTTCGGGGACTGAGGAAGGTACGCACGCATCGCGCGCTCTCTCCAATCTTTCCTCAAACCAGCCTGGGAGCACAGCTCGGGAGGAGGAGAGGGGTTGCCCTCCATCCCCACCACCCCAGGCAACGGAGCCTTCACTCTTCTGCTACACCGGCTCTCTTTTGTCCCCCACCCCCAATTCACGGAAAACTGCCGGTGCCGGGAGAGGCTCGCCCAGGGGAAGCTGCCGAAGAGGCGACCCGCGAAGAGAGCGCTCTTCCCTGCCAGCCCCTCCTCCTCGTGTCGGCAACACCTCCAAGCGCTTGGCTTTGGCACCCAACACCTTTGGGGGCTCCAGGCAACTGGCCATCCTCTTAGCGGCAGGACAGACTCCCTTTATAAGAACTGGAGAAGGCAACTGATGGGCGTCAAAGAAAAGACCCGCAGGCAGAAGGGCAGATGATACCTGTCAATCAAGGAAGGGCAGCGCAGCAGAAAGTCTGCGTCCAACAGAGAGAGGCGATTCTCCCCAGTTAGGACAGAGTTCTCTTCCAGTCTGCACAATGTGGCGGGGGCGGGGGGGGGATCTTTGGGACATTACAGAAGCAGGATAGATTGGGGGGGGGAGGCAGCTGGGGCTAGAAAGGAGGGGGAGGGGGCAATCCTCCCCAGTAAGAGGGCTCCTGATCATGGCCTCTGAGCAGAGGCGTCTTGGGATTTGAGGGAAGCCTCCAGGTGAGTCAGTCCAGGTGGGACCCTCCTCCTGAGTTCCCTGCCAGGTCAGCCTGCCCATCTTCCTGTTGAGGCAGTAAACCGCTGAGTCAGTTCCCAGCTCCTCTGCTTAACTGACTGTTCTCAGAAGGCCCTTAGCCAGCAAAGCGGTCGTGGCCCTTGGACTCAGGGACAAGCTCTGCTAGCACTCCAAGGAAGCCAACCCACCTCTCTGCTCCATCTGACCCTTCCCTTGACCAGCGAGGCAGATTTTCCAGATGGTCAGATTAGTCTGTGGCTCAAGTCTTCACAGAGTTTATACAGACAGAACCCGCCTCAGAGGCGCTGAGCCTTCCACTGCCAGTATATTCCCCCAAGCGTTCTGCCTCCCCCCTCCAAGTTCACCTCACCCAGACTAACCCAACACCCTTATTTGAGTTTCTACCACACGCTCTGCCCAAACACATAAATCTATCATGGCTTAACAAGTTTTGTGATTTACCATACACTCTGAATCACAAATTACAAAGCCTATTTTAGCCTGGTCCAACGTGTCATGTGAACTAGACCAGCAAGCAAGAGCTGCTGTTGAGCAACACAACATAAGTGCCAATAGTCTTCACATCTTTTATTAAGATTCAACATTCCAGTTTTCCCAGGGCAGATTTTGTTATGGAGAAATGCCCGCAGATGCTTTTCGATGCCTAGAAGACACAATCGCCTGCACTGGACCCCAGGGCCATTAATCAGATCACTATCTGAGGTTATTTTGCTGGGGCAGTTCCACACACAATTCTATCTTCACATGGCAGTTGGGAGAAAAAGCTGCATACCAAGTGACCCAAAGAACAGCTCTGGGTTTCAAACGCACCCTGCATTAACTCTCATTCGCACCACTGTGGGGAAAGCCTGCTGAACACAAGCGGGGCACCAAAGCCACAGAGAAGGGGCTGAGGAGGTGCACGCCCTCCCTTGAAACCCAACCAGTCTCACTTTTTCAGACCACACTTGTACAGCTACACGCTCACACGTTATCCAGGCAATAGCAGCAGCATCCCGCATGAACCATTCCGAGGGGGAGGGATGCCTCCTTTTTGACATGGCTCATCCTCTCTTACAGCCCAAGCTTTGAGGTGGTGCACGCAGAGATAAAATCCATGCTTAGATTGTTTTATTAATTTTCAGAATGCGTGCGGGAAAGAGAGTGATTCACTGAAAGGCAAAGCTGATTCTCCTTCTATGACGCTACCAATGTTAATAAGGAATGATCCCATCTGTTGATAAACTTTCCTCTCCCACTTGCCACTATAGAGGGGGAAGTGAGGCTATTGTACAGCTGCACCCAACACACTCCTGAGAGATGACAACTGGGACTTCTGCTGCTCAGGTCCCTCCAGCAGCAGCTCCCTACCTCACACTGGCTTTTTCTCAAGGCCCACATCCCAGCCCACCCACCAGGGGAATGTCCTACATGTAGGTCCAGCAGGAAGACTAGTGGGTGGCATAGGAGGTCTTGAGGAGGAGGAAGGGCTGCTGGAAATGTTCAGGGCAAGGAGCAGGTGCGTTCCTGGTCCTGGCACCACCCTCTGACTTCAGCCATAGCTGTGGGGACTATGGAGACTGATGGGAGAGGAATCCTGGCGTCCCAACTGGCCCTTCAGCTGCCAAAGCCGATGGCTGAGATTTTGCACTTGGCAGGTGCCCAAAGCACAACCCACACGCATTAGCTGGGCAGCGCGGCGCTTTCGACGTAGCGCTGGCATCAGGGCAGGACGAGGCAGAGGGCCATAGCCAAGCTGCAGGGGGTCCAGTCTGAGCCTAGGGAGCTCTCGGAGAGGGAACAGGCTGCCTGCCATCCCAGGCTGCTTCTGAGCCAGCCAAGGCAGCCCGTTCTTCTTGGATAGCCTCTTCGGAAGCCAGGTAGAACGGTGGTTTGAGACCCACGGTTTCCTGCAAGAAAGGAAGAGGAGACGCTTAGAGCAAGGGTCCCCAACCTCTGGTCTGTGGACCAGTACCGGGCCACGGCAATGCCAGCAACTGGTACACACAAACAAGCAAGGCCCCATCTGCGGGATGTAGGCAGCACATAAAACCACACACTCTCTGGCTCCGTGCAAAAACCTTTCTCCACGTAACCGATCCCTGGTGCCCAAAAGGTTGGGGACCTCTGGCTTAGAGGGTCCCCAGATACACAAGAAGGAAAGAAGAGCTCTCTCCTTTTTGTTTCTTTTCAAAGGAGGGGGCAGGGTATCTTCTCCCCCATCCTCGGTGGCCAGAACAGTGCTAACGAGGAGGCAAACCCTATTCCCTAAGCTGTACCCAGGAGATGCCCCTGGGATGGAAAATTTTCTCCAGGGAAATCCATTGCTCCCTGGAGCTCTGCAAGCCCCACATGAAGTCTGGCACTGGGTTTGCCACTTAATCCCTTTCAGACCTCAAGACAGTGATGCAGCCGGCTGAACCGCCTGCCTTCCTTCCAGGACAGTAAGGCAGGGGGCAGGGGGAGGAGCGGAAAGGGAGGAAAGGGAGTGGAAGTTGGTAGGCCAGCTGGAAAGGGGAGGCCAAGGGGAGAAAAAGCTGAGGTCAAGGACGGAATCCCTGGCAGGGAGCCTGGGCTGTGGAAGAGATGGGAGAGCCTGGGATGGCCAGAGGGCAAAGCGAGGAGGGAGGAGCACGTGCAGAGCGGAAAAGAAGCTACCTGCCACAGGACACGTACACTGGTAGCCACCCAAGGAGAGCGTGCACAAACACCAGCTGCATCACAGGCGTGAGTCTGCACACCCAAGCCAGCTTACACAGAGGCTTTTCATAGTTAGCACCGCTTCAGATAGCTCACCAAAACCTAGGGAGGGGCTGGCAGAGTTGTGGTGGGGTTGTGACTTGTGTGGCTCTGTAAAGCAGAGGATGCCTGGCTTCCAAGACTGTGCTGAAGACCAGGAAGGAAGACGGAGTGTGCCCTCTTGTGCCCCTCTCATGCCGCAGCCAACCACTGAAAGCTCCTTCCTTGACCCTTTCCCTGCATCACCCCCCCCCCACCAAGCCCCTCAGCTGGGAGCTGAAGAGGACATCCAACTGATTCACAAGCATCTCCTGTTTCCCATTCAGATGCATCTTTCAGGGAAACACAGGGCGTCTTGAAAAAAAAAAATCCTGAAAAATGACACACACACCCTGCCTAATTCAGTGGTACCACCCAGACAATGTGGCCAGTGATTCCTTGGCTTTGACCTGACCATAGTGCTTGAGCACTACGGCTGCTGGCTTTTCCGTCCCATAATGCTGTGTCAGCAACCGGGCACCTTCCTGCCAGAGCAGTGGGGGCAGTGGGTGGAATGACCCGCAGACTTTAGGGAAGCAGGAGAAGCCACTGGAAACATTTCCAGCTGTCTTGGTGAAAATCTCCACTGAGATGGATGGAGGGCACACAGTAAGTAGAATATGATGCTTAGCTTTTAACATGTAAATAGCAAGATCTTTGCAGGGGAAACCATCACTGCCAGCCAAAACTCAGTCTTGTTTGTATCCTTTTCCATTTACCTTAATCAAAGGCTAATCTCTAGGAGGAGAGCTATGGCAAAAATCAGGTGTCTGGGAGCACCACTTTATGCTGAGTAGTGTACGTCTTTAGTCCGAAAAGATCTTACCAGGCTCCTCCTGATTCTTTGACCGAAGGGTGGCCAAAGCCTTGCTCGTACTGTCATTTCTAGACCCCTTATGTCAGTTGGATTATAGGGTGTTAAGCTGGATTCTAACCAGGGAAGCGTTCAGAGGCAAAGCTTGCTGCACTTGCTATTCTCCATGTTTAAGGTAGCACACCAACTCAAGAAAGTAGGTTGCCCTGACTCATGAGAAGCTGGCTCCAGCAAGCCTGGTCTTGCACCCACTGCTTCCTCTGTGGACCTGCGGAGCGCATTGTACCACTCGTAACGTGAGAGATGACAGATACACTGCAGTTCAGCTCCTGTTCAATCACAAATGGCACCCACCAGAGCTTTAGGAGTCCTACGACCCGCAGCCTAAGAAGACGTGGCCTTTCTCGCTAGTCCAGCTTCCTGCGCTGCCCGACAGAAGAGCCAATGCTTTAGTCTGTCCAGCTCCGAGAATCAGCCCTGGGGGTTGGCTGAATTGAGAAGGCGATTCAACTGATATCATTGGCACAGGCTGAGGTGTGTGCAACTGAGCAAGAAGTAGGGACTGTTTACAAGACTGCCTGCTATCATCTGCTGCACTCTAGAAGCATTTTCAGGACACAGAATGAACAACTGTCTATCATAAGAAAATTAAATGTTGGCTTAACTTAAATAGGGTACCAACTTTTGCGGGGGGGGGAGATAAAATAAAAAAGGACAAATATTTTTATTGGAAGTGGAGCATCTGCCATTTCTAGGAAACACATAAAGTACAGGCACAAAACACCTTCAAGAAACAAGGAGGGCTGGACGGGAACTCCATTATCTCCCCCCTTGCACCACCCCCACTTTCCCTCCCAACACTGATGGGGGGGGCACCTCCCTTCAGCCGAGGGCCTCAGCTGTGCCTTCCCTCTCAGGCTGGGGGGGGGGAGGTCCCTCATCAGCCAGCTGTGCCCCAGAAGCTGACCCACTTGAGAACATGGGTGGGGAAGGGGAGGGGCTGACAAACCAGGGCTCTTCCCTGGAAGACCTGTCTTGCCTTCTCCTTTCCCGCTTTCAAATGTAAAAAAACAGATCCCTTAGATAGAAAACTTCCAAGTTTCAATGGCTGATTCATTTTGTAATGATATTGCATCATTGGTGGCAGAAGTACTATGGCATTCCAATGGTTTCAGGGTGATTTTTAGAACTTGTTTCTATGCCTTTTTTTTTTTTTTTTTTGATACTCCTTAGTGAACTGAACTCCACAACAGACCAACAGCCTAAGGGAGGAAACATCTAAATGTGAAATAATATTGAATTCAATATTAGGGTTCGGTCATGCTTTGGGGGTCAAAAGGACAGCAGCCTATGCATGCTCTGCAGGTGGGTTTACTCCAAACTAAGAGTTGATTCCAGCTTTCTTAATCTGCGGAGAGTTACCTAAGTGTGAACCCACTGGTTCCAAAGGGCTCCTTAACAAGGTCCTGGATCATGGCCAGAGTACACAAGGAAGCTCTGGAACGCAGCAAGCCCAACTGGCAAGTACCCATTATCCAGCCTCTCCCATCCACATCTGGCACCCGGCATCTGCACAGGACAACTGGGGGAGGGAAGAAGTGTGACCACCATTGGGGTTCCTCAAGGAAGTCTTGGAGCATGCACACAAGCAAGCACACACACACCAGGCTGGCTCCCGTGTGCACCAGACCTTTGTGAAGAAGGCAGCTCAGCTGAATTCCAGGGTTTGGTGTGGTTTTGGTGTTAACCCTTGAAAAGGTTTTTAAAAAAGCTTGTAGCTCCCGGCTCCGGGCCTCAGCCCCCGACTGCTCCGGTACCCAGCTCCCCTCCCGGTTTGCGCCCCGGGAAAATTCTGTTCGTGGCAGCGCGCGGAATTTCCCTACTAACAGTATGTGTGTGTATGTGGGGGGGGGGTGTCTTCCCGGGACCGCTGGCTCCCGTCCGGGACTCCCTTCCACGCTATACGGGAAAGGGCCGCCGAGTGCGAAGGATGGAGCCTGCCCGGAGCGGAGCTCACCCAGCGCGGGCGATCGGAGGCTCTCGGGGCCGCAGCGAGCGCGCTTACCTGGCCAGCGAGAGCCGCGCCCCGCGCCCGGGCGGAGCAGGCGGGCAGCACGACCCAAGTTCGGCGCCGGGCAGGTGGAGGAAGAGCAGGAGCAGCAGCGGCAGGAGGCGGCGGCAGCAGCGGCTGATGCAACTCTGTCTGGCCGGCGACTGGCGCTTCATGGCGGCAGAAGACGGGACGGGCTCCGGAGAGATGCCCGGGAACGGCGAAGGAGCCCGCGCTGCCCACTCCCCGCGACGGCTTGCAGACTCGAGGTGGGACTGAGCCGCCGCTCTTCGAACCCCTCACGGGGGTTAGTCGCCTGTCTCTGCCGCCGCAGCCCGACCGGCCCCGGGTTAAATACCGCTCCTTCCCCGACGGGGCGGAGCGGCCGGCCTTCACTGACGCCGCCGCGGCTCAGCTCGGCCCGCCCCGGGCCCCTGCAGCCGCCTCCCTCCAGCCTGGGGCGGCCGCTTCACGGGCGCGGGGAAGCGAGGGGGGCCGAACCCGCCTCCCCGCCCTAGGGTCCCGCCGCTGCCCGGGTCGCGCCTACCGACGGCCTCGTGCTCCCATCCCGCGACAAGTTCAGGCTTGTTGTGGTTGCGCCGCCCGGCAGGGGGAGCGCCGGTGCGGGACGAGCCTCCGCGCTCCAAACCCCCGGCTCCTCCGGCTCCGGAGCTGAGCGCCTCGGGTGGCTGCCAGCGGGACGTCCCCCTCCCTGCCGCTAGACCTGCAGAGCGGCTCCCGCCGGCTCCCCGCGCGGGCGAGCGGCAAGCCCGGGGCTGGCGCTGGGATGGCCGAGGTCGTGGGAGGCTTAAAGCGGCTGGGCTCCGAGCCAGCGCAGAGGGGCTCGGAGGGCTTTCCCGTGCCGGTCGCTCCGGCGCAGCTGCAGGGCATTCGTGGGAGGGGGACTCGTCAGCCACCCTAACCCCATGGAACTATGCAGAATTTCCACGCCCTATTTGAAGATGGGAAGAAGTTGGGAAAAAAAGTCATTTGCTAGCCTTTTTTCTTAGACCATCAAGGGACATTTCAGGTGTTTCCAGCAGAAATAACTGCTTCCTCTCCAGTTATTTGGAAACATCCTCTTCGAAGCCTACCCTTTGAAGCAGAGCATCCCCAAATCCTATCAAATGTGCTCAAGAAATGGCAGGCGACGGTTCTGCCTTTAACTAAAGGCAAGTAACTTTCACCTCCAGGTTGCGCTGTGAACCCCACATTAGTTTCCGATGTTTCAGGCTCTTGGCTAATAGCAAAGCTGCATTGCAATCCCCCCAATTTCACCAGAGGCCTTTCTGGTCAGACTCAGCCAAGGAATGGCCTCTGCCCACCAGGGCATTCCAGCCCCCCCCCTCCCTCGAATGGGTAAAAAACCTGGTGGTATCTGCTGCTCCCTCTTGTGCTTCAGTTCCCCCCTATCTAGTCACCTCAGTCCTGACGCCCTTCCAGGACAAAGCCTGGCAGATTTTGCACACCTCTGCTCTGCCCTCGCAAAGCACCGGGACAGGGGACCTCAGGAATGCTGTGGGGACATCTCAGGAAAGAGGCACCGGCAGGGCCCTGGGGCTCTGTTTCACAGCGGGAGGAATAATGGAGACCCTGGATAGCCCTGGTGTGGCTGGACTTCCATCCCGGCCTCCTTTGGCCATTAGAGACAGGTTTACTACTGACATGCAAGTATGTCAAGAGCCGGCCTCCCTTTTCCCTCTGTAACCCTGCTTCTCTCAGGAAGGCATCTGAGGCTTCTGTGAAAAATCCATTTCATTCCTGCCTGCAAAGCGAAAGGCATCCATCACCCTCTGGCCTTTTCCAGAGTTCAAAATGCACTCTATTTGTCCCATCCACTCAGGACACACATACAAACACACGGCAGAGCTTTGTTTCACACGGAAGAAAGCTTTTGCATGTCTGGTGCTGCTGGGTTGGCTGCTCCTTGTGTTATGGCAAGATGGCACACAAGGGAAAATGGAAGCAACCATTTCTTTCTTACTTGTCTGAAAGAGAAAATACCGTATTGGTAAAAGTAGATCACAGGCAAGTAATCCTGATTAAAAAATGTGTCCCAAACATTGATTTTCACGGATTTTTAATGTCAGCAAAGCTACTATTCAACCAAACACATTTATTTATTCTGTCTTCTAATTCACTGCAGGTTTTTGGAGAGTGGAGGAACATGAGAGCCACACAGCCCTGGTCTGCCACTACCGTGGGAGCTGGGGGACTCTGGGAAAAAGCTGGAGCTGCTTGACGGAGTTGTTAATCACCCTTAACCACTTTCTTTGTTTGCAATTTGGAGAGCTGCACAGCCTTGTTATTTTCTCACTCCAGGTTCCTCTGGCTGCAAAATCATGAAACCCATTTACTTGCCTTTTCAGTGTTGATTTAAGAATTACAGGTTCCTCTTTAACATGTTCTCAGAGCGGTTAACAGGATCGTAATTTAACTGTAAACAGTACAGTAAACCCATTGGTAAGGAAACAGGACATTTCTAGCCAAGGGCACACAAGCCTGATGATCCAAAGGCTACGCTGAATGGGAAGGATGTCTGGCCGGTCTGGAAGGTGGCACAGATCACCTGAAGTGCACAACTGAGCAATGGCAAACAAATCACATTTAAGAAAAAGCAGAGCCCTGCCTCATGTAAAACCCAAAACAAACTCATATGAAGGGTTGCCTGATCCAACATTCAAACAGGGGCATTACTCCCAAGGTTGCCAAAGGGGAATGCTCTGACTTAATTAGTTCATGAGAAGGATGTTCAGATTAAACTCTCCCAAAAGCTGTGGAGTTTCTGCAACAGCTCACTAATGTGAGGGGCACTAACCCACCATTCATTCATTCATTCGATTTAGGGGCTGAGCAACTGCACAAGAATCTGGATGGCTCTACAACAGTGGTTCTCAACCTGTGGGTCGGGACCCCATTTGGGGTCGAGCGACCATTTCACGGGGGTCGCCAAACAACGCAGTCCACCATTTTTTTCCCCTTTTCCTTAGCTGTGCTACTCCCTTTTATTCTATTGGCTTTTGAAAGCCAATAGAATAGACTCTCTTGAATAGAGCCTAATTCTATTGGCTTTCAAAAGCCAATAGGAATTGTCCGGGCTGTCTCTGCCCTGCTGAGCCCGCCAAAAGTCCCATTCTGCAAACGGTGCTGCACCAGTTGAGTAGTCCTCGACTTACGACCGGTTGAGTAGTCCTCGACTTACGACCGGTTGAGTAGTCCTCGACGTACGACCGGTTGGGGGGGTCGCGGCATTAAAAAGGTTGAGAACCACTGCTCTACAACATTAAAAGCAGGAAAACAATAAGATAATGAGGACACATCCAGAAAAAGAGAGATGCAGGTTGTCTTTGCTTTATGACCATTCCTGTTTATTGACTATTTCAAGGGACAACAGCACTGAACAAGGAAGCTTATGACCAGTCCATATCCCTTCTGTCACGTGATCACAATTCAGGCACTTGCTAAGTGACAATTTTATTTATTTATTTATTTATGAGACTTATATACCGCTTTAAGTGCAAGCACTCTCTAAGCGGTGTACACCAGTAAGCAATGTATATATATATATTTACATTGCCCCCAACAATCTGGGTCCTCATTTACCTACCCCGGAAGGATGGAAGGCTGAGTCAACCTTGAGCCGGTGAGATTTGAACCGCTGACCTGCTGAACACAGTCAGCTAAAGTGGCCTGCAGTACTGCACTCTAACTGCTGCACCACCTCGGCTCTTTAATTATGGACTTTGCTGCAATTACGACAGTTGCAGCATCTGGAGGTCCTATGAGCAACTACACGAAGGCTTCCTAGGAGCCAAGTCGATGGGAAAGACAGCAGGAGAGCCGAGAGCACCAAGAATCTTGAAAGCCTGGCAGAGTCTCTCTCTCGCTCTCTCCCTCTTGTACCAGAGACAGCCAAGGCAAGGTAATCTAAAGTTTCTTCCTTCCGTCTTTCTGGGTTAAGTTCAAGTTTTCCTAACAGCTGCTGCATATTTTTCAAGGCTACCTCTGTACTCCTCTATATATCAAAAGAATTATTTGATACCATTTCCAACTTATTTATTTTTAAGATTTGTATAAAATTTATATTTGCAGACAACCAGTCTCCATCAGTGGGCTCAGGTGGGATCCCTTGAGGAGCAGCCTATCTGATTCCTTGCAGGTTGCGGGGCCAAAAGAATCCCAAATAATATAGCAAGATGGCCAGTCACATTCTGCTGGCTGGTCACGGTGGCCCAGAGGCAGCACCCACTGGAGAGCTCTTTTCCACAGGAGAAGCAAGCATCTGAATAAGGGCCACTGGACAACAGCGCAAGAAGGGAGGACTAAGAGGATTTCACCTGCTTCATCACCGCGGAGCGGGCTAGCCTTAACCTTGTGCTTGGGCACAATCCGCCCTTCTCCGCCTGCACTCCCTGGAGACCTTCCGCTGCTTCGTCTCCCCATCCTCGGCAAACCAAGGGAAACCCTGGGAGGCTGCTCGGGCATGATTTGACAAGGACCCCAGACAGCTCCTCTTACTAGTAACAAAACAGACCCTTGATCCATTTGCCCAATTTCCCTGTTAAGGAAATCCCCAGCTGCTTGCCAGATGCCTGGAGAAGAACACTTGAAAGCCCCACTGAGGTAACAATGAAGGTCAATGCATGTGGACCAGGACTTGTTCTGACGATGGCAAAGAGAAGACACTAATATCTTTCATATCCAAATCAAATAACAACTGTTCTAGCATGTGACCCTTCCACGTGAACTGGATGAAAATGTTCAATTATTTAATAATTTATATGCCACTTGTCTCACTATCCAAATTCCCTAGATGGCAAGAGAAAACTCAGTGGCTTGCAAAAAAGAAACGAACTCCTAAGTTCAACTAACTCTTGCTCCTACTGAATGGAAGCTTCAGTGCTAAGTTTTTAGGGTAAGCCTCATATTATCTTGGGGGTTATAAAAAGGGCAGTATAAACAAAAGGGGGAAAATAACACTAATCAAAGAGAAAAGGCACAGCGGGATGGCTACTTTATTGGGAAGATGAAAATGTCTGATTAGCACCACAGAGGACACTAACCACACAGAAAGACTTTAACAACTTTTTGAGGTAAATAAAATGCTTGGTAAGAAAAAGGGTCCCTGTTTTATTGATAGTTGTGGGAGGCAAAGAGAAGATTTTATTGGAGACAGAATTGGGTTATTCAAAGAGATGAGTGATATAATGAAATATGGAATATGGCAATAAATGATAAATTAACAGAAATTAAATTTTAAAAAGGGATGATTAAAGTAAATAATTATAATGAAATATGGGAGGATTTCATTTTTGGAGGGGATAAGGGCACAATTGAAATATATTGTATATTGTCAATTGTTATATGAGAAGAAATATAGGGAATAAAAATGGTCTCCAGGGGGGTGGGTTCACTGTAATATTTGTATTTTATATTGTTTTTTATTTAGACTTATATGTATTATGTTTGTATTATTTGTATTTGAATAAAATTAAATTAAAAAAAAAATTAGGGCCCCACAAAAAACCTCCCCATGTGATTCAGCTTGACAGAGCTAGTAAATCAGGAACATTTAGTTCCAAAATCATTATTCCCTGCAAAGTAGTTCTGGAGTCATAAG